CATCTAGGGAGGTGAGCACATATATATTGTTAACCACTTTAAACAAAAGAATATTTTTAGGAGTAATTTCTTTAATTCTCAATTATTTTATTTTATGCATTCCATTTTTGTTTTATGTCGACTAAAACATTTAATAAAGATTTGGTCAAAATAGCATCAATCCAGTTTTTGGGGCAAGAAAATGTAGAGGACCTGGAACTGAGGAAAGAATGTGGAGAAGATTAGAAAAGAAGCGTGGTGATCGAATACCCGTTACACTTAAGCCGTCTTGACCAAATCAATAGAAGGGGATTACGCCACACCACCCGCTAGCAGCTGCTCTTGGTCAAATTCGAGTTCATGCCCCAGTCCGAAATGATGGATGGCTAGAAATTGCCTTTTGGGTTAAGAGAGTCCATTGTTACAAAGATTGGGGTAATTTGAAATATATGTTTATAATATTTAAACATGTTATTTATTGTAATCGCAATGTATATAAAAATATATGAATTTTATTATGTTCCAATTGCAGCAAACTTTTGACTTTGGGACACATAATGATGTGGAATGTGAGATGGTATTATTGAACATAAGTGCCAAACTTTGTACATGAATGAAAAGTAGATTACACACACTAATAGGTGCCTAAAAACTCTTAAAGAAGCAATGTATCTGCGACCCCTCAAGAAGTCACCACTCACTCCATACCCCCCCCACCTCTCCTTTACACCAAGCAGGATGAGTTGTTGTGCATATTGATTGTTATTGATCAAGGCTGTCTAGGAGACACGATGTTTTGATGTGCATCAGGGTTAGTTTTATATATAAGAGTAATGTAACTAAGGTAATTGAGCTCTTCTGACTATATTAATACTTTTCAATTTAATTTTATTTTTTTGTTATTTTGTAGCGCACAATAGTTCAGAGTGCGATTGTGAGTAGAAGACGCGTAATGTGTGAGAGTACTACTATCTCACTTCACGAGTCTGAAGTTTTCTAAATTTCGCGAGATATGCATGCTCAATTCGTGGCTGCTGTTAGGACCATACTCTTTATCGAGATGGGTGAAGTGTAGATTTAAAAAATTTGAACATACACAAATTATTAATACATGAATAATTGATTGACCTAGAAAACTTTAATCAATTGAGAAGTGTAAAAGTCAGGGGAGAATGTAAGAGAGACGCACTAATTCCTTGATACTGAAACCTATTTCACGAAGGACACTTCTACAACATGTATCTAGAATATGCCGCTCTTCTGCATAGCAATAGGAACCATGCGAGAGGACATAGTTGTCTAGATTACTGAGAGTATATCGGCATACAGTGCCCAGTGGAGTGAGAAACAGTCATGTTATTCCATAAAACATACTATATATCAAATGCGCATAATGAGAAGCTGAATTTTGACATTTTACATATCCAAATCAATGTTTTACAAATTACTTATTTATGTATGAATCTTCACTCATGTGTACGGCCACTAAGGCTATTCTAATAAGATGGCACATGAGTGGGCGCCACAGTGCTCAACCTAGTCGTAACACTCTATGCCATTAGATCTCCGCATGTATGTCAGAATCTTCCATGCAGTATCCTGTGAGGGAAGTCTAATCAAGGGCTCAAGTTCTGCTTGAAAGGGAATATATGTGACTGAAAGTAATACTGTGGTACTCCACATATGGGCGACCAGTAATTTCTTCCAAACATTAAATCAAATTTTATTGTCTAATCTCTATCGGAGTTGTGTACGAAGGCTCCTCTAACTCCCGGAGAGAGCGGGAGTTGTGGTTTTCTTTTCAAGTAAGTCACAGCACCAGAATATGTATACTTTCAAGACAAACGAAATTCACTAGCTTTACTCAATATTGCTGAACAGTATATAGCTAGTGTTTCACTGATACGCAGGAGTGTATCCCGAATAACTATAGCTAGTTTTAGGAATTTTTGCTCAGAACAGTCATCTAATCAATAATGGTATGGGCAAGCAGACAAGAAACAGGGATAGATCCAAAGCAACTAATTGCTCAGGCGGGGGATCTTATTAAAGATGTGCCTAGAGTATCACTGCAAGTTGAGGGAAGGGGAAAGTATGCAATCGGGTTGTATTAGGGGGGGGATGATAAACTTCTCTTCGGTTGAAATAGAGGTAATTTGACACTTCATAAATGATTTACTTTATTTAACCAATCCTAACATGTGTCAACAATATAAAATTATATAAACTTTGTATTACAATCCTAGCATTACCAACCTTTGTATACAATAGCTTGATAAACAATAGCTTCACAACAATTTTCTGATTAATTTTAAATGTATTTGTATATTATTGTTGAAGTTAATGCATTAATAAATAACTCATGTTTTATCCTTTTGTTCATAGGTTGGGAGATGGATGTTCGTGGTTCAGTAGTGATATATATCGTTTTGCACGTTGGCATTCATTTAATTTTTCTTTGTTTCGTTTATATTTCTTTTGTTGAATGTTTATGTACTTTTGGAATTATTATGTTTGGGATTGTTGGATATAGTTTAGACGCATTTAGGATTACTATGTTTAGTATTGTTGGATATTTGAATAAAATTTGGGATATTGAAATGCATTTGATATTAATTTGGTTACATTACTATTGTTATGATGTGTTCCAGTTTAGTTTTTATTATTTGTATATAAGAGGTTTTTTTAGATCTAGCTGAAAATTTCGTGACACAAAATTTCTAGGTTATGACACACTTTCCACCAGAGCAGTAGTTGAGGCTCTCTTGGAGAATGGGAAACGGTACTACAGGTTTTCCGAAGGCATTAAAGACATTTACTTCATCATCTAATGTGTTACAAATGGCTGAAGCAAAAGTCTGCTATAAGGAAACCAGTGTTCAATAAGTTGATCAGCTGCGACCTGGCACTATGGGTTTGTATGGAGTCTCTCTCGCTGTTGAAGCCCTCCTTGTTGCTGCTAATGTGTTGCTGCTAATGGGGTTTGTTGCTAATGGGGTTCGTTTGTGTGCGCTCTTATGCAGCTGCACTGCTGGGGTTGCTGATCTGGTGTATTTGTTGTTCTGTTCTGGTCTTTTTTGTTCTGCTTTTCTGTTCTTTGTTCTGCCTGTCGCCAATCTTTTGTAAGGTTGACACGCTACAAGGGTTTCAAGGAGGGGACAAAGAGATACTTGTGGCAACAGATCTGGTTGGTAGGGGAAAATCAACTGAAACGTGTTAAACATTGTCATCAACTATGACATGCAGATTCAGCAGATACTTATCTGCACAGGGTAGGTCTAGTGTTTTTTAGCTTGTCTTGTATGTCAAAGCAGGTTTTTGTTTCTTGTATATGTATACATATTGTAAGTACATCTACAAAAGCATTGTGGAAGAAATGAACAATGAAAACTGAGAGAGAGAGAGAATGCTTCTGTTGGGATATTGGTACTGTGGAATCTGATGAGACTTTGTACGTGGAAAAAACAGAAGATACTAGCAATGGATTGGGTCCTTATGAGATTTGAAGCCAGTGAGTTTTTACAAAAATTCTCCATTGATGATGATGGTGTGGAATCTGATGAGACCTTTGTTAAATAAGAGGAAGATGTTGTGGTCCCAGAGGTCTCTGTGTCAGAGATTTCTTGGGATATTAGTGTTGAGAATCCTCAAGTTCATGTGATTGAAGGTACAGGCTTGTCAAATGCAGTCTTGGAGTTTCATACATCTATTCCAAATATTGTAACTGAAACCCAAGAAATCGCCCAACAGAGGAGCCAGCTTTTGGAGACGGAGTAAGGAATAAGATTCTTGATGACCTATTTGAGGTATGTGTCACGACCCCGAACCCGCCCCCATGGGTTAAGGACGTAACCGGCCAGTAATCCTAAGATTACCTACGGCCTCAAACCAAAACAGACTTAACACATCAGAGTAAAGGGGCCAAAAGGGAAGCCAAATTTAAAACTTTGTCCATAGAGCTGTGCTTACGTGGCACATCAAAACAAACCTACATATGCACGTTAATAACTCACAACAGAAACATAGCGACATAGGTTCTGTACAAACAGGATCATCCAAAACTAAGTCAACCCATATCACAACTACATACCGATATACACAAGATTCTTGCCAACAAGACAAAATGGAAATACATAATAGAATGGCAAGGTTGAGTCTCATGCGTGAGACACAAGGCTGACTCTCCAAACTCATGTTATTCCTGGCAGACTTCACTGGGGCTGGGTTTGAACTTCTCTTGGCTCACCTACAAAGACATGAATGAGCGTGAGCGATAGCCCAGTGAATAATATCAAATATGACAGTTACATACAATATGTAGAACAACATGCTCCAAACGGCCTTGGGCCCAATTCATACTTCTAATTAGCAAATATATAAGACTATACGAAATGCAAATCAAGTAACTGTAGTTCCAACATTCTGGCCTTTGGCCCATTTGGGTTTCCATTCGTGGCAAAAACGGCCTTCGGCCCATTCACTTATGTCGAAACAGCCTTTGGCCCATTCATTTTTGTCAAAACGGCCTTCGGCCTACTCATTCATGTCAAAACGGCCTTCGGCCTACTCATTCATGTCAAAACGGCCTTCGGCCCACTCACAATGTGTCAAAACGACCTTTGTCCATTCATTTACATCAGGACGACCTTTGGTCCATTCATTTATATCAGACGACCTTTGGTCCATTCATTTACATCAAAACGACCTTTGGTCCATTCATTCATTTCAAAACGACCTTTGGTCCATTCATTCACATCAAAACGACCTTTGGTCCATTCATTCATTTCAAAACGACCTTGGTCATTCATTCACATCAAAAAACGCTTTGGTCCATTCATTCGTTTCAAAAACGACCTTTGTCCATTCATGCAATCATATCAGACTTACGTCCACAATCCCAATTAGCAATTCATAAAGCTTAAAAGGGGGTAAACAATTGGACATTCGCAAGCATTCAAATATTGATATTACTCACAGTGATCGGCTTGTGGATTTGCCCTGGAGCTTGACCCTACACGTTTCATGAACACAAAAGGATCATTAAACAGTTTAATCCTTCTTTAATTCACATATTCCTCTTTAGGCTTTATTATTATCTCATTAACTCATTTACATTGCTTAACATATGCCTAAGAGTGCTTGCAAGTGAAAGAGAACGGAAAACAGAACACAAAATGCAAAAACAGAATTTCAGAAAATAGGGTCCCCCGCTCGAGCGGACCCTTAAGTCTGCGAAAGTACTGGTTGCCTTCTATTCCAGCTTGAGCGTGAACTCGGCCGCTCGAGGGACTGCCTGCCTACACAGCTCCCCGCTCGAGCGTAAACTTCCCCGCTCGAGCGGACACCACGTCTGCAAAAAGTGCTGGGAGCACGTATTTCCCGCTCGAGCGTCAGGTCCCCGCTCGAGCGGAACTCAAAATTCTGGAAAACCCAGAAATTGTGTTCTTGAGCTCCAATTCGATTTTCCAGCTACATTACTTGCATGCAATGGCTCAAATCTCAAATATGATCATACCAACATGGTACCAATGCAAGATTATAACATTATGAAGCTCAATTTCTGATTTATCTACATGCATGGCCCAAAATATGTCAAACTCAGCACCAAACATAACAAATTCATGCATTCAAGCTCATATCTTCTCAAATTGCCAATGCATGTGATGAATTAGCCACATTCTCAACTTAAATAACACAAATGGTGATCAAAACATGAGTTTCAACCAAAACTCTACATGAATCATGCACTTTAAGCTTATACATGCTATTCAAAACATTTCCTTACATGCATGCATATATCAAGCTTTAATCCAACAAAACCCATTCAATTTCATCATGCTCAATTGAATTCATGTTCTTTATTCTTATTCAACTCGATTTAACAAAATTAACTCACCAAAGAGTTTTAATCTTCACAACTATGGTTAATTCTTGAGCTAGCCTTCAAGACTTCCAAAGCTTCAAGAGCAAACTTAGATGATTTCCCTTTTTCTCTCTCAATTTCGGGTCTCTCACTCTCTCTAGAGAGTTTAATCAGCCAAAGCCACATAAGGGAAGGAATTGAGGGTGTAGTGCCCTTTTACATCAAACCCACTATTCCAAAATAATAAATAATAAACAATTGGGTACTAAACATGGTCGAATGATGCTTGCTATGCGTGGTTGTAGTGTAATCCCCTTGCCTAGCCTTGAGTTTTGAACCCCCTTGCATGCTTAACTTGAGGTGTTTCTATGTTTTGGCATCATTGAGCATGATATTTCAGAGCGTATAAGGTTGCCACATTCCCATGTTTATCACTCTTTAAATGTATTTGAGAGTTGTGCTTGTATACCTCATTTATGGGCCATTGCATGAGCTTCATTTTTGTGCATTTCCAACCATCATCTTAGTGTCTGAGAGACAACCTTTTTAGATCACTTTTTCAGCTCTCTCTCTCTCTCTCTCTCTCTAAAACTCTCCAAAAACTCAGATCTTGACTTTCTCTCTCTAAAATCCACCTTCTCTCTAAGATTTCATCTAGACCCATTATGTTCTTCACCCTAGTGTCTTTGAGAAAAAGGTGGAGTATCTCAAGAGCTTCATTTTGATCCAAATAGAAGTGGGTTTCGTCATTTTTAGAGTTCAACCTTGCTTTGCTCATCTTCTCTTCTTGAGGTAGGGATTTTCTACACTTTGATATGGTTTTTAACTTAGTTATTAATGTTTAGAACTACAGTCACTTGATTTGAATTTCGTATAGTTATATATCTGTTAAATGGAAATATGAATTGGGCCTAAGGCCGTTTGGAACATGTTGTCTTACATTGTTATGTAACTTCTGTATTTGATTTGATATTATTCACTGGGCTTTCGCTCACGCTCATTCATGTGTTTGTAGGTGAGCCAAGAGAAGTCCAGACCCAGTCTCAGTGAAGTCTGTATGGAACAACTAAGGTTTTGAGAGAGTCAGCCCTTGTGTCTCACGCACGAGACCCGTCTTCGCCCTTTTGTTATGTATTTACATTTTGTCAGGTTGGCGAAGTTTTGTATATGTCTACTTATGGTTTTATGGGTTGACTTAGTTTTGGATGATCCTGTCTGTACAGAACCTATGTCGCTATGTTTCTGTTGTGAGTTATTAACGTACATATGTATGGTTTGTTTTGATGTGCCATGTAAGCACAGCTCTATGGACAAAGTTTTAAATTTCGCTTCCCTTTTGGCCCCTTTACTCTGATGTGTTAAGTCTGTTTTGGTTTGAGGCCGTAGGTAATCTTAGGATTACTGGCCGGTTACGTCCTTAACCCATGGGGGCGGGTTCGGGTCGTGACACATACCTCAAATAGGTCATCAAGAATCTTATTCCTATACTCCGTCTCCAAAAGCTGGCTCCTCTGTTGGGCGATTTCTTGGGTTTCAGTTACAATATTTGGAATAGATGTATGAAACTCCAAGACTGCATTTGACAAGCCTGTACCTTCAATCACATGAACTTGAGGATTCTCAACACTAATATCCCAAGAAATCTCTGACACAGAGACCTCTGGGACCACAACATCTTCCTCTTATTTAACAAAGGTCTCATCAGATTCCACACCATCATCATTCAATGGAGAATTTTGTAAAAACTCACTGGCATTCACAATCTCATAAGGACCCAATCCATTGCTAGTATCTTCTGTTTTTTCCACAGTACAAGGTCTCATCAGATTCCACAGTACCAATATCCCAACAAGAAGCATTCTCTCTCTCTCTCAGTTTTCATTGTTCATTTCTCCACAATGCTTTTGTAGATGTACTTACAATATGTATACATATACAAGAAACAAAAACCTAGCTTTGACATACAAGACAAGCTAAAAAACACTAGACCTACCCTGTGCAGATAAGTATCTGCTGAATCTGGCATGTCATAGTTGATGACAATGTTAACACGTTCAATGTTGATTCCCCTACCAACCAGATCTGTTGCCACAAGTATCCTCTTGTGCCCCTCCTTGAAACCCTTGTAGTGTGTCAACCTACAAAAGATTGCGACAGAGCAGAACAAAAGAACAGAAAAGCAGAACAAAAAAGACCAGAACAGAACAACAAAATACACCAGATCAGCAACCCCAGCAGTGCAGCTGCATAAGAGCAGCACAACAACGAACCCCATTAGCAACAAACCCCATTAGCAGCAACACATTAGCAGCAACAAGAGAGGCTTCAACAGAGCAGAGAGACTCCATACAAACCCCATTAGTGCCAGGTCGCAGCTGATCAACCTTATTGAACACTGGTTTCCTTATAGCAGACTTTGCTTCAGCCATTTGTAACACATTAGATGATGAAGTAAATGTCTTTAATGCCTTCGGAAACCTGTAGTACCAGTTTCCCATTCTCCAAGAGAGCCTCAACTACTGCTCTGGTGGAAAGTGTGTCATAACCTAGAAATTTTGTGTCACGAATATTTTCAGCTAGATCTAAAAAAACCTTTATATAACAAATAATAAAAACTAAACTGAACACATCATAACAATTAGTAATGTAACCAAATTAATATCAAATGCATTTCAATATCCCAAATTTTATTCAAATATCCAACAATACTAAACATAGTAATCCTAAAATGCGTCTAACTATATCCAACAATCCCAAACATAATAATTCCAAAAAGTACATAAACATTCAACAAAAGAAAATATAAAACGAAACAAAGAAAAATTAAATGAATGCCAACGTGCAAAACGATATATATCACTACTGAACCACGAACATCCATCGCCAACCTATGAACAAAAGGATAAAAACATGAGTATTTTATTAATGCATTCACTTCAACAATAATATACAAATACATTTAAAATTAATCAGAAAATTGTTGTGAAGCTATTGTTTTATCAAGCTATTGTATACAAAGGTTGTAATGCTAGGATTGTAATACAAAGTTTATATAATTTTATATTGTTGACACATGTTAGGATTGGTTAAATAAAGTAAATCAATTTAATGAAGTGTCAAATTTACCTCTATTTCAACCGAGAGAAGTTTCATCCTCCCTTACACCCGATGCATCCTCCCCGACATTGGTGTTTGGAACTAACCTCGGAATGTTTGCTAGATCTATCCCATTTTTTGCTGCCAACATTTGAATGATCGTTTGCATTGTACTCATATTTTGAGCCTGGTCAAGTAACTGCTTTCCTTGGTCAGCTAATTGTTGTCGCTGGTCAACTAACTGCTGTTGAAGAACAATCACCTCGGAGTTAGGAGCCTCAAATGTGTAGAAGATGAAGTACTGTCCTTGTGGATCCCGTATTCCTTCAAGTAGACCGACCTCTTCCCAAGTACTTCCCTGGAAATCTGCTCCTCAGACAATGGATGTGTGACACTAGGTTGAGATTGCTCAGCGATCTTTGAAACCATAGTGGCCTATGAATGAAACATAAGTAAGCTTAAAACATAATATCAAAATGCAAACATTTATTATTGAAATTGAAGTAGTTATGGTTACATGATGTTCCTCAGCTGTGTTATTTATCCACACTCCCCCATGTCGGTGATGTTTGTGAGTGTCCTCAAATAGTTTCGTAATAGTCGGTTTACTTCCTTGTACCTTTCATTTCATTAGATTTTCTAGTCAATCAATAATTCTGTATTTATAATTTAGTATGTTCAAATTTGTAAATCTACACTTACAATGATAGATGCTCGCGATGCAAATGATCTCGAGCCGCTCGTATGATTATACTTCACACAACCTCTCGCTTTCATCGCATTCTCTGACTTTAGCTACAAATTAAAAAAAAAAAAATTGGCATTAATATACAGGAGGATGTTACTTTAGTAAATATTTTTATAAATACCTTTCAATCATCAGTTTCCCACAGATTGTCAATCATCCATTCCCAATCATCCTTTGTACAAGGATATAGTATCTGACTTTTGAGGTCAGATACATTGTCTTCTTTAAGGGATTTGTAGTGTGTGTGTAATCTACTTTTCCATTCACTGTACAAAGTTTGGCACTTATGATCAATAATACATCTCACATCCACATCATTATTGTAGTCCCCAAAGTCAAAAGTTTGCTGCAATTGGAAATAATAAAATTCAATATATTTTATATATCATTGCGATTAACATAAATAACATGTTAAATATATAACACATATATTTCAAATTACCCCAACTCTTGTAACAATGGACTCTCTTAACCCAAAGGCAATTTCTAGCCATCCATCATTTCGAACTGGGGCATGAACTCGAATTTGTTGACCAAGAGCAGCTGCTAGCGGTGTGGCGTATTCCCCTTCTATTGCTTTGGTCAAACGGTTAAGTGTAACGGGTATTCGATCACCACGTTCCTTTCTAATCTTCTCAACATTCTTTCCTCGGGTCGGTCCTCGTACACGTTTCTTGCCCAAAACTGGAATTGATGCTATTATGACCAAAATTTTATTCAATAGTAATACTCTGATGAATGAATTAATAAATTGTTTTCTTTAAATAATGCATGTCAATGATGTATATATAATGGGTTTATTTTTGAGGGCATTACACTCGCTGAATGATTAACTTGTGCAGCTACAGGTCGTCTCGGAAGAGTAAGTGTATCTTCATCAACAATAATTCTCTTTTCCCTAAGTGTTTGTAAAGCTATTAGGCGAGCTGCACACCTATTTGTTTTCTTACCGGGACCCATATGAATATCCTGACATAATATAAAAAAGAATTGTTAGTACATTTTCAATAATTTAAGGTTGCTTAATAAAAAATAAATATGAAATAACTAAACATACCACACGTAATATAACAAGTGAAAAAAATAAAGAAATTACTTTTTAAACACACATTTATTACCTCAATCACTTGAGAATCAAAAGGCTCGCCATTATCACTTGAAGAACTCAGTCCTTCATCATCATCAAGTGGTTGATAGTCCTCGTCATTATCAGTTTCACCCACCTTTCTCTTTCCCATCCTACAACTTTCACTATTGTCCTTTTCAATAGAACCAAACATTGAATTCTTGGGGGACTTTATCCCTATAGCATAAAATCTAATTTTATTTTTCTGGATTGTTTTTTTCCTATCCTTCTCATATTTTGTCATCTTCTGGACTAAGCCGCCGGGCTTCAGAAATGATTTACCGTTTCTGGACATCTTTGTAACTGTACATATGACATATAATTAAATGAAATGAAATAAGAAACAATGCTATGAAATTTGAAAAACAATGCCATGCAATGTAAACCAAGCAATTTATTATTAAATTATAACACTTGTCCATATAATTAAAAATCAAACACTACATATCATAATCTATATCAAGATCCATATCAAACACTACATATCATAATCTATATCAAGATCTATATCAAGATCTGCATCAACATCAGGTTGTCTATGCAGTTCATCATCTTCATCATCATTATACTCTATGATTGTGTCATCCTCATCATCATTGTGAACTAAATTCTCTGCCATTAGTTGATCATTGAACATGATCTCCGGATCCATATCATCCCTGCTGTATTGAACATCATTAACTTGGATCACTACCCCAACACCATCAGTGGTTTTATCCTGTTGAAAAGCATCATTAGAGACATTATCCCGCTCTGGTATATTCCATACTCCCCGATGCTTAACACGTTCAACGACTCTCCAATTTTTGCCGTTGTTGGTATCATTGACATAGAATACTTGTCTTACCTGACTAGGTAGAACAAATTGGTCATCTTTATACCAAAGTCTTGTAACATCAATACTTGTGACATGTTCATCGGAGTATATTCTATTCTTGTGACTAGTGTCATACCATTCACATTGGAACAAAACCACTGTACACCCATGCAAGTATTTTAATTCCCATATTTTGCATAAGTAGCCGTAAAAATTAATTTGGTTCCCATTATGGTCCCCTTTACGACCAACCCACTATTTTGGCAGGCACGACGATTTTCATGGTTTCTAGTATGGAATCGAATTCCATTGTAGATGCACCCAGAATAAAAGTCAACTACCGATCTAGGACCATTTGCTAATGACCACAATTCGTCAGTTACTTCAGGTGACCCTTTCGTTCGCAAATCATTCATCTACATAAAACACCATATAACAAGTGTACTAAGTTAATGTGAATTAAAAGTTTCAACAATTGTATTCAGTTATTTTCTTTAGTGTATCTTACACGATTTTTGAACCATTTTGGAAATTCTTCTCGTTGTACCCGAGTAATGTCACGTCCTTGTAGATTATGTAAAATATTCTTAGGCTCCCTACCCAAGGAAATGTTATACATGTAATTAACTTAGAGAGTTCGAAACAAAATGGAACGATTATGCATAAACGTAATTAAATTTAAATACATACTCAATATATGGCTCCACCTCAGAGCTATTCTACAATGCAAACCAGTGAGCCATTTCTCATTCATTCTGCGAAGGGTCAAGAGCCCTTGTGATAGGTGAGAATAGACGAGCATTTTGGGTAAAGACCTCCATCGCGGGACCACGTTCACCACCATCATCATTTCGTTCAGGTTTATCAATCCCTTTTAAGTACATTGAACAAAAAGTAAGACACTCTTTGACAATGTAAGCCTCAGCGATAGAACCTTCTGGACGTGCTCTATTACTGACATACCCTTTCAAAGTCCCGAGAAACCTTCAACAAAAATTGACAATGAAAATTATGCTTCTTGATGCAAGAAAATTACTTCATTAACAATAGTCTTTTATGGGTGGATTTTTGCACAATATTTTAGTTATAAAAAATTAATAAATAACCATCTGTTCATAATGATTACCTTTCGATCAGGTACATCCATCGATATTGCACCGGTCCAACAAACATGGCCTCACGGGGCAAGTGAACAGCCAAATGGACCATCACATCAAAGAAAGCTGGAGGAAAAATTTTCTCCAACTTGCAAAGTATGAGCACAATTCGTTCCTTCATTTTTTCCAAATCAGTCTGCCTTAATGTTTTTGAGCACAGTTCTTCGAAGAAGTTGCCCAACTCAAATAGTGTTGTACAGATCTCCTTGTTCACAAACCCACGCATGCCAATTGGTAAAAGTCGCTGAAGTAGGACATGACAATCATGGCTTTTCATGCCCGATAATCTTCCATTTTTAGAAGTCACACATCTTGAGATGTTTGCTGCATAGCCATCTGGATAACTAATAGACTTCAAGAATTCACAAAAACTATCTATTTGTCGAGAATCCAATGTGTAGGCTGCCCGAGGCTTTACAACGGATCCGTTATCTTTCCTCTGTAGATGCAATTCTTGTCTTATGCCCATTTCTTGCAAATCATCACGTGCTTTGTATGTGTCCTTGTTTTTCCCATTTATGGCCAACATCGTCCCGTAAAAGTTTTCACAAATATTCTTCTCAATGTGTATGACATCAAGATTGTGTCGAAGGTTTAATTTCTTCCAATACGGTAGCTCCCACATTATGCTTTTCTTTGTCCAATTCAATTCTTCAGACTCTCGTGGTCTTTTCTTGTTGGTAGGATCCTTTCCAAACTTGACTTCCCGCAATTGATCCAATTGAGCCATTACTTTTTCCATCGGTAAATCTAAGGATTTCTTTCTAAGCTCAGTTAAACCATCAAACTTCTTGTCTTTCCTCCAAAGGTGGTTATCAGGCAAGTAAGCTCGATGACCCACCCACCCAATCTTACTGATCAACCCGCGTGACAACGGATTATCATTACAAGGAGGGCAAGACAAATAACCTTTAGTTCTCCATCCGGATAAGTCACCATATGCAAGGAAGTCATTTATGGTCCACATTACAGCTGCATGCATCCGGAAGGTCTGTTCAGTGGAGGCATCGTAAGTCATCACACCATTCTCCCATAACTCCTTCAACTCATCAATCAACGGCCTTAGGTAGACATCAATATCAGTCCCTGGTTGATTACGTCCAGGAATAAGTAAGGACATCATGAAAAATGGGGCCTTCATACATCTCCAAGGTGGGAGGTTATAGGGCATGAGTATGACAGGCCACATGCTATAGGAAGTGCTCATGTTCCCAAAAGGATTGAACCCATCGGTGGCTAGGCCCAGCCTAACATTGCGAGTCTCCTGGGCAAACTCTGGATAATGCAAATCAAATTCCTTCCACTCTTTACAATCAGCCGGATGCCTCCCTACACCATTATCCACACGCTTATCACTATGCCATCTCATGTCTTTTGCCGTCTTCCTAGATATGTACAATCTTCTCAACCTAGGTGTTAATGGGAAGTAACGCAATATCTTGTGAGGGATCTTCTTACCCTTGCTATCATTTACTCTGTACCTAAATGCTTGACATGTGGGACATTTTTCCAAGTGAGCATTCTCCTTCCAGAATAGTACACAATTATGTTTACATGCATCGATGAGCTCGTACCCCAAGCCCAAGTCACATAGTAACTTCTTGCACTCGTAAATTGACCCTGGCACCACGTGGCGTTCTGGTAGGAATCGCCTTTGTATCTCCAAAACCTTGTCAAAAGACTTATTGCTCCACCTATTTTCTACCTTCACATGTAGCATCTGAATAACGAATGATAACAAAGTATCCGAGTTTTTGCAACCTGGGTACAAGCAACATTGGGAAGCATCTAACAATTTATCAAAGTGTCGTACATCCTCTCTTTCTAGAGTATCACCCTCCATAAAATTCCCCCTTTGATAGTCCTCTATCAGTTCATCATATTCATCTTTATCCTCATCATTCTCCCCATTGCTTTTATCAAGGTTATTGTGTTCTGGAAGTTCACCGTGTTCTAACCAAGTGGTGTATGATACTATCATCCCACTTATGTGCAAATGAGCCTTCACAATATCATACTCCTGCTTATAAAAGTTACAACAATTGATGCATGGGCACTTAATCTCCCTAGCCTCACCCAAATGAACCTTTGCAAATTCAATAAATGAGTTCACCCCATCTACAAATGGCTGACTGAATCTATCAGAAATTAACATCTAACTCCTGTCCATATCTGATCATAAGATAGTAGTTAATACCAATAGGACACAACCGGTACTATTCCCCTTTGCGACAACAATATCTTAACTGAAATAAACTAAGGAACTACACAAAGTAGGTAACCCAAAAAGTAAAGAAGAGAAAAAAAACTCAAAGGTAAATTATGTATCTATCTAATTTATCTTTCTTAATTCTTCACAAGAACAAAAATACATAATATGCTTGTGCTAATAAACATGAACACTTCTAAGAAGGTGGTGTGTTCGTGTCGAACACTGACACCCATCAGACATTTCCTGACACATGTTGCACCTGCATCCAAACATGTCTTTTATTTTAAATCACACTCAAACACACTTCAAACACTTGAAAGACACACGTGTTCATCACTTAAACACATTAAATGGGTCATCTAGATTTGTTCCGAATGTTAATTTGTTTTTTCTTTTATAATTCAAATTTTTCATTTTTGTTCTTAAAGTATGGGTGGTATAGAGAATGCATGAGAGTAGTGCTATTTGGACCGAACATCATTTTTTTGAAATTCAAGAAAGTGTTTCACTTGAAATGAGATGAGATGGTGAGGAGCACATCAAAAAGTCTCAAATATGATAGAAGACATTCAATCTAGTTGAAGAAGGCGTGGGGCAGTAGGCGAGGGTCATCAAGCAGATATGTGCTAGTGGAGCCACATAGCAGGCTGGGGTTAAGGTGGGTTAGTTCTTATGCTACTCCTCGAGTTGCACTTAATTTGGGTTTGAGGAATTTTTTGTGGATTGAGAAAAGGAAGTGACCCATGGTGTATAATTATGAAATATGTACAGATATTGAGGTTCATGCTCCAACCATGTAAAGGTTGTATAGTATGCAAAACTTATCTACTATATTTCCTTTTAAATCACTTAAGTTCCTCCACTTCACGAGCACATTTTTTGAAGGTCTTCTAGAAAGAAGGGGATAATTGAAGGGGAAATTACTAATCAGTAGAACTGTCAAAAAATTATTACAGATTGATGAAAAACTTTTGTCTTTAATTATTAATATACTTGTAAAGTTTACCACTTATTTGTAATTTTTTTTAAAAAGCCTACCTTGCATTGAAAATTCAACATGACTTTGCAATCAACATCAACAAACCTAAGAAGTTTCCTCATCATACTCAAGCCCATGTAACATAGTCCCTCACCAATGGTATGGAAGTGATGTTAGTAATAACTCTTAAAAGTGATACCACTAGGCAATATGAGAGAAATTATTATCTGAAGATAACTGACACCAAAAGATGGGAACTGTTTAGAGGGAAAAAGGTACAATAAGGTGAGGAGTGTCCCACCATAGTATATATAGTATAAACTCAAGTGTGGATATATATATATATATGTTAGAAACCAATATTTCCCCAATTACTGCATTTTCATAACAACAAATCATAGTTGTTAATTACTTAACACATAAACTGAGATCAATATATATAATCCTAAAGATAAAACAATTCAGAAAATGAAAAGACAAAAACAAAAACAAAACCAAATTCTAGAGAGTAGAAATGACATAAGCAAATTGGCCTTGTTTGAACCAAAAACTCTATGTAATTCCAGTAAATGGGTCCCTCTTTTTCCATTTCTCTTCGCTGATGGGTTCACAATAGTAATACACAACTAAAATTTAATCAAATTTAACATAAACTTACCCAATTAACCAATAAATAAATAAATAAGCAATTAGACAGATTACAGACCAGAAAAACAAAAACCCATTTTGAAAGCCGTGAACTTTAACCAATGAAATTAACAAATGCATCATACACACATATCTCAACAATCCAGAAGAAGGCCCTAAAAATTGCCCCCTGAGATTTATATTTTCATAACAAATTGCCCCCTGAGGTTTATATTTTCATATCAAATTGCCCCATAATTTGTTATGAAAATATAACCTTCAGGGGGTATTTGTAATTTCTCAAACCTCAGGGGGGTATTTGTAATTTTGCTAAACCTCGAGAGGGTATATGTAATTTTCCCTATTTAAAACCGTATCATTAACATTCAAGTACCGCACAAAAAGATGAACCTTACTCTTTACAATGCAACCAACCAATGTAACAATGCAAGCTGTTACAGAATTTTATGAAAATAATAAAGGAATCTGTTTTTGTATGTCAGTGGTCCTGTTGTGCATGGAGTGATCCTATTGTTAAGAGTTTCTCTGTCAAAATGAATTCCATCAATACAAACTCTGGTTCTACTCTTGCATTTTATTGTTTTGCTTGTTTAAATCAACTAATAAGCAAAATTTTAGTTCCCAATTCTTCTCACCAAATATCAATACAGTATCTCATTAATTTTCAAATTGGGTGTTCTTCATGAATTCCAGAAAACAACAAATTAAAAAAATATATGTTGTCTGATGGCAATAAGAATGTAATAGATAAAGATTAACAATTCCTTGCAGAGAAACTTACAGCTATGGAGTCTTTAATGTCAAAAGCATTGTAAAGAAGTCAATTACATTATTACAATACAATTTTCTTCTTTATCTCCATTTCTACTATTTCTATCTGATGAAGCAACAAATGGGTATACCTAGCAAAAATAATCTTAACCAGCAATAAGCCCCAAAACCAAAAGTATATACCCATTTGTTGAAGTGTATGGTGCTTCATAGCTAAGTAATCACTTATCCAACTGTTCTAGGATTTCATGGTCTTTAATCTTTATTACAATCCCTTCTCACATGCTTGTTTATCGTATTTTTTAAGGTAATTTGTTAAACAAAATTAGGAAAGAGTTGACTCGAAGATGAGTACTTTCCACAACGACTAAATTAAGCTACTAAACACCATAATAAGATACCATCCATCAGATTTTTATTTTTCTCTTCTTTTCTTTTTTTTCACTTGTTTTCTCAGTTTTCACACCTTTTTTTTTCTTGTACTGGACGCCATACTAGGATACCACTCATCACTTGTTTTCTCACTAATTTTTATCATATTTTTTTCTTTTGTTTCCTCACTGCCAATTTGAACCTTTCTTTTCCATGTCACTGGCAAAGATTAGTTCATCAGTTCTGAAGAATCTGATATACTCTTCAAATATTATGGGAAGGAGAAAAAATTATGAAAATAAAATAAAATAACATATAGGTTCTTTCCACCACATGCTTGAGAAACTTAATAGTAAAAAAAAAAAAATTAAAATAACTTCTTTTTGTATCCAGGATTTATGGACTGCTAATAATCTTCAAAATCCAAATAAATCATTAAAGTATATCACCTGCAAATTGCAAAATCTTGCATGGGTCTGTGGTCATATGCATCAATTAGACATAACGAATTGGACAAGAAGAAAAAAAATTATTCTACCAATTCAAGTCAAATTTAGTTAAATTACCCATAAGGAATTGAACCAAGAATGCATGCGAAGGATCAATAGTCCATAGGTACTGCATTTGCAATTGGTGTTTACATAACTTGACTAAATGGATGGTTAATATATGCACTAGAGGTCAGACTCCCGAAACTCGTAATAGTGAAAATAGACAAGCATAGATTCATTTAAGAAATTGAGAGAGAGAAGCAGGGGCATTGAGATACAAAGCAAAAGGGAACAAACCTGTAAGGGCAGACTGAAGCACCGATCTCGCATGGCAGCAGCAAACAGCACAAACCCTACGATCAAGAGTGAAATCATGAGGGAGAGAGAACTACGAATTCTGAGATAAGGATGCGCAAGAGTGAAATCGTGGAGATTGATTTGGGGAGATTTGATAAGGAAAAAAAAAGGAGGGAATTTTAAGAGGGAAATGTCCACCGTTGATCAGCACCTGCTCTACCCCAAAAAAAAATAAAATAAAATATTTAAAACAATTTTTAGATTTGTTTTTTTTAAAAAAAAATTAAAAATAATTTCAGAGCAATAAAAATCAAAATTATATTTTTAAAATTTTAAAAAGTATTTATAACCTAAAAGATTAAAAAAAATCAAAAAAAAATTTAGATTTGTTTTTTTTGAAAAAATTAAAAATAATTTGAAAGCAATAAAAATCAAAATTATATTTTCAAAATTTAAAAAGTATTTATGCCCTATAAGATAAAAATATATAAAAAATATTAAGTTTTTTTTTTTTTTTTCACCCAATTTTTTTTAGTTTTTTAGGAGAAAAAAAATTTGAAACTAGTTTCTGAAAATAAAAACAAACATATTGAAATTGATAATCTAACCATATTCTTTGAAAAAGTTTAAATTATCTCAAATTAGTCATCTCAACTTAAGAGTGTGTTTGAGCTCAATGGGTTCATTTTGTTATCTAATTCAATGATCATTTTAATTTTACAATTCAGTAACTAAAATACTTAAAACTCTTTCAAAAATTATAATTAAAAACACAAATCACTAAATCACATCATTCCACTAGCAAAACTTTTACCGACGAGTAGTGTCATCGTTGCTAAATGGTTAACTCTTTGCCCACGCCAACTTGTCATCGCCAAAAGTAAGCACATTAATAGCAACGCTCATTGTGTTGCTAAAACATAAGCCTCGTAGGTAAAAGTTTTGAAATTTTGGCGCCAACCAAGAAATTTGGCGCTAAAATAATGTTATGCCTTTTTAGCAACGGCAAAAAATTGCCTCGGTAAAGGTATACTTTTACCAACAAAATTGATCACTGTGTCGCCAAAAATATAATTTTGGCAATGAAAAATTGACGTCGTCGCCAAAAGTAGTCGCCAAAAGTGTACAGAAAACTCTCGCTCGAGCCAAGAAGTTCTCGATCGAGCGAAGAAAAACCCAGACCGCTCGAGCGAAGGAAGCTCGCTCGAGCCAAGAAAGACAGCTCTCAGGTCCAGAACCAGGTGCAACCGCTCGCTCGAGCGAGCCACTCTGGCTCGACCCACAAACACGAACCCCACTCTCGCTCGAGCGACAAACTCCTCGCTCGAGCGAAGGTCCAAAATTCTGGGCAGCAACACTAGGCTCCCGAACACAACCAAGCTGTA